GTGTGTGTGTGTGTGTGTGTGTGTGTGTGTGTGTGTGATGGTGCAGAAAAACATCACCAGCAGCAAAGATGCTCCAACTGGACAGGACCGTCTGGTTTATTAACATTTCAGTCATTTTTCTCAGACTTCACAACACCTGGTACAGATTACCTTCAAAACTTCCATCCATTATCTTTTCCAGGTGGGGAGTGGGGATGGGTTGGTGTCTTTCTCCAACGATCATGAGACAAACGAGACAAACACTCTTTCACTCTCATCTAGGGACAATTTAGAGTTACCAATTGGCCTAACAGTCTAACAAGTTTTTGGTCTGTGGGTGGAACCAGAGTACCCAGGGGAAACACATGCATGCACAAAGAGAAAATGCAAACTCTACCCAGAAAGGTACCCCACCGGAAGTGATCTGGCACCCTTCTTGCCGAGAGGCTTCTACCTTCAGAACAATAAAATAAGGCCAGCAAACTAAAGGAGGAGGTTGACACCAGGCCTACAGTAAACTTTTATTTTCTCCAATCTAACATGGACGATGGTTGTCCTTTTTGCTCTCAAATAGAAAACACTGGACACTGAGTTGTTGTTTTTATCTTTGAAACTGGTCATATTTAAATAAAAATAATAATAATAATAAAAAATAGTAATAATAATAATGCATTTTATGCCTTTCAAAACTCCCAAGGTCACCTTACACAATAGAACAGTAAAGGAAAAACAGGATACAAGGTCTGAAGGACTATTTTGTTATTTCACTGCTGGCAGCACCGCTCAGGGTGGAGTTTGAAATTTAAATGTAACAAAAAAGGATACATTTATAATTTTGCTGTATGAGTTTTTGCTTTAACTTTTGTAAATGTTTTTTGTTTAATTTTGTTTGTGAATGTGTAACATTGAAATAATAGGCAAACGTTAAACAACAATTTGAACTTCTTAAGAATATCTAGTTACCTTTGGTGTTGTAAAAATCTTTATTTAACAAAGACAGAAATTTGTGAATGGTCAACTGAGGTTGTTTATTGCAAAAAACAAGAACACAGAAGGTAACACAGAGCCATCAGGCTGTCTGTTAAGATCTACAAACAGATCTAATCGCTAACTTTACAATTTCAACATACACTCTAAAAATGAAATGTTGGATTTACTTAACCATGTTATGTGACCTAGTTCCACTTAACTGAGTTGAGTAAATTCAAAGCAATATACTCATGTTCTTTGGTTAAAAAACAGGTATATTGCTTTGAATTTACTCAACTCAGTTAAGTGGAACCAGGCAACATAACATGGCTAAGTAAATCCAACATTTCATTTTTTACAGTGTACAGATCATATCATGATGCCACTCACAGGCACCGAGGCCAAAGGAAAAGAAATAACATGGATAAATTAAAATGACAAGTGTGATTACTCCTAGCAGATTTTGTCCTATAGAGATAAAAAAAAATACTATTTTTTGATAACCAAAGGTCATTGGATCAGTTGAATATCTTATAACTTGGTCTAAAGAAGAACAGATCAATAAATAAATTTATGTATATGATAATCCATTTAGCTGTTTGATCAAAACAACCATCAGCATCATAATAAAGTTTAACTGTCAATCAAAAACAGTCCTTGAAGACTAACTTAATTTACCAAACTTTGTAGTTCAAGAAAAAACATTTCAGATCAGAAGATTCAGAACAGTTGATTATTCCTTGAAAGAGGGTTTTAATGAACTTGTCAAATATATTTAACCATTTGAATGATACAGCTGCCTTTTGTTGCAACATCCCAACTGCTAAGTTGCAATTTAAGCAAACCATGAAATTGTTTATGAAATTGTTACCACAGCTGCACCACATTAAGCTAGTCTCTACAAAGTGTGTGTGTGTGTGTGTGTGTGTGTGTGTGTGTGTGT